GATAAAATTGAGTAGTAGTGGTTCCTACCTTTTTGGAACATTTTATAGCTTGTAAAAGGCTGTCATAAGCATCCCGTTAGGTCCCATGAAGTAGGTGGATGTTATTATCCCCATATTTAAAATGGAAGAAGCTCAGAGAGATAAAGTGGCTTGTCCTAGGACACCCAGCTAGTGAAGGTCACCAGAGCCAGGCTGCCTAATTCCAAGTCAAGAGAATTTCTACCAGCGCACACTGGCAGCCGAAGGAGGCAGGCAGGGCAGCAGACAGGCAATTTCCTTCCTTCTCTCCCTGGAAAGATGACAGCCGTGACGCCAGTCCTCCCGAGCCCGCCAGCCCCACCATCGGCCTGGATAAGAAGACCCGCCGAAAGTTCCTGGACCTGGGGTGAGTGGAGGCAGGGCTAGATCACACGGTTTGGAGCTGCTGGGGTAAGGGGTAGCACAGTGGGCAGCGCTGCTCCACTTCCTGCTTCCTCCCCACAGGGTCACCCTGCGCCGAGCATCCACAGGCAAGAGCCGGAAGGAGAAAGGCAGCAACCGCCTGTCCATGGGCAGCAGGTGAGAAGTGCCCACGGCGGCCCACCCACAGCTCCCACCCCAGCTCCCTGTGTGCCCTGGTCCTCCCCTCTGTACCTACACCCATGCTGGACACTCTCTCTGCAGGGAGTCAGTGGAGGGGTCCGGCAGGTCAGGGGTCTCCCCGTTCCTGCCTTTTTCCTGGTTCACAGACAGCGGCAAGGGCTCAGCATCCTCGGGTAGCACCACCTCCCCTGCCTGCTCCCCTAAACACGAGGGCTTCAGCCCTAAGAAGTCAGCTTCCCAGGTAAGTCCATAGCTTACTTGTCCCCAAACTGGCCCCCAGTCTCAGGTGACATGAGGGCATACTTCACCCTGGCTCAGGCTGGGATTCAGACATTCCTGGAATCGATGTGTCCATCCATGGAGCCATGCAGTGATCCGTTACTTCATGCATTCTCTGAATTCATTCACTCACTCATCCACTCTTTCATATCCTGAGGAGTTCATTCCTCGATTCAGTCACTGGTTCATGCATTCAGCAAATCACTGAACACTGATTCCCTACTGTTCCCCCAGCTGGAGACTTCTTCATTCCTGCTAACTCTTCTGCCCGGCTCAGTTCTAACCCCACTCCTGTGTGAGGAGCTGGGCCACCTGCTTGGTAGGGTGAGGCCTGGGGGATATAGAGAAGAACAGGACCCCAGCCTAGTGGTCTGAAAGTTTACAACCTATGTGATGTGAGACCGAGTAAAAGAAGCAATGATGAGCATCTGCTTATGTTCAGAGTGCCCTCTACAGTTTACAAAGCCCCAAACGCGTTTCTGCTTTACTCTCACAAAGGCTCAGTGAAGTAGGGAGGGAAGGCACCCTCATCTCCATTGTACAGATGAGCAAAGGCAGGCCCAGAGAGAAGGGGCTTGCCCACAGACTGGCACAGATGTAGGTGCCAAGCTTTAAGACCCCCAGCCCAGTACTTGTTCTATGGTTCTGTTTCTTATGTTCAGTTGGGCAGAGGAGAAAATCAGAAGCTGGGAATTCGGGGGAGAAAGAATCCCTTCGGACCTGGAACTTCCTTCCTTCCTCCTTCTCTTTCTTTCTTCCCTTCTGCTGGGCACTGGGACACCATGATGAACAAGATAAAACCCAGGCCCTCCTAGAGCTCACAGTCCAGGGAGGATAAAGACCTCTAATCAGGCACTTATTAGCTGGGGTACTAGAGCCTCGGTGGGAGGCACAGAGCAGAGACGCCTGACCCAGCCTGAGGGAATCCCGGTGGGCTGCCTGTAGGAAGTGACACCTTGCCTGAGACCGCCTCCATTCCTACTAACCTGGCTTGGTTCTAACCTCATGTGCTCCAGATGGCTGCCTGCTCTCCTGGAAGCTTTAGGTCCTGATGCCCAACATGAGTTATCGTGTCCTGTGTGCGGGCCCAGCTCCTGGCTCACGCACAGGGGCACTGAGCAACTCCTGGTGCCTAGTCCAGGACTTCGGCTCCACCCAGATAGGGATGGTAGGTTGGGGGTGAACTCTCCTCAGTGGCATGCACCCTCTTCTGTCTAGGAATCCACCCTGAGTGATGACTCCACACCCCCCAGCAGCAGCCCCAAGATTCCCAGTGGGCCCCGGCAGGAGGTCAAATGTTCTTACCCCTACCACACGCTGTCTCAGTCTTCAGATGAGGTGAGCAAGGCTGGCCCAGGGTACCCACAGAGTCCTGACCTCTGACTCTGCAAGGTGCTCAGGTCACAAGCCAAGCCTCCCCCTCACTGTCCTTGGTCTCTGCCCAGTTCCTGGATGAACCCCTCCCCCCTGTCCACCATTGGACCAGCCAGCAGGTGGGCCAGTGGCTGCAGAGCCTCAACCTGGAACAGTATGCTGCCGAGTTTGCTGCACGGCAGGTAGACGGGCCACAGCTGCTGCAGTTGGATGGAAGCAAACTAAAGGTGGGTCAGAGCGGAAGGGCCATGACCCAGCCCAGTTACTTGAGGTGACTTTCAAGGATTGGAAGTCCCTGTCCTGACCTTTGACCCTCAGCCCAGTCTCCTGGGCTGACCTTTTCACTCCATCTGTGGCCACTACCCTGACCTCTGACCTCTAGGCAAGGTTCTTGGTCTAATCTTTTGTGTTGTAGCATGAATCCCTAGTTTGACTTGAAACTCTAGTCCATGACTTCAGTGTGACCTTCAAGCTCCAGTCCTGGTCTCCAGGCTGACCTTGCCCTCTAGGATGACCCTTGATGCATATGAGTTTCCTGGTGTCATGGGAAGCCACATGTCTCCCCCTGGTCAGCTTGGTCTGATTCTGTCTCAGAGGCTGGTGGTAATGGTGGGCAGAGGGAGGATGTAGGGAGGGGGTGGGTGGTCTCTGACCTCTAAGCTGGGAGCTTCCCAGCCTGTCTCCTGCTCTCTGCTGAATTGCTTGGGGGCAGGGATGGTGAAAAGAGCCCCCAGGAAGTCTCTGGAAGTGAGGAGGGTCCTTGGGCACTGACTAACTGTGTGACCTTTGGCAAGTGACTCCCCATCTCTGGGCCTCAGGAGGTTGGGCAGGGCCAGGCCAAGGCTGAAATCCTGAGTGGAGGTATGGTAGGGGAGGAGGAGAAAGCGCCTAATACCCTCAACCCTCATCTCTCCCAACCACACTCATTCCAAATTCTTGCTCTGGGGGTTCTGATCCACGGGCAGGTCACGGTGTAGGAGGCGGAGGCTCCATTCCAGGGAGGATTCGGAGCTCCAGAGTACACCTGGGGCAAAAGGAGCCTGGGCGTGGGGGGCCAGGACTGGGAAGGTTCTGGGACTCTCTCCCTCACCCTGGACTCCTCCCCAGAGCCTGGGGCTCAGCAACTCGCATGACCGGGCACTGGTGAAGCGCAAGTTGAAGGAGCTGGCAGCGGCGGCCGAGAAGGAGCGCAAGGCCCAGGAGAAGGCTGCACGGCAGCGGGAGAAGCTCCGGCGCCGAGAGCAGGAGGCCAAGAAGAGCTAGGGGAGGGTGCACAGGCGCTGGCGGCCGCTGGCTCGGCGGGCACAGGCCTCACCAGGGAGGCTGGGCCTGGGCGCCGCGCTTGGGCTAGCCTGGTCCCACGATCAAGGGCGGACATGCCCTCTCTTACCCTGTCACTTGGTCTAGACCCAGAGCCCCCAGAAAGGGAGACCCCAGGGAGAGGGCCTAGTAATAAATCCTATTTTCAGGACTTGTTTGGCACAGAATTCCTGGGGGAGGAGCAGATGAAGGGGAGAGGGCAGAGAGGCCAGGGCCGAGGCAAGTCTGGGAGCCTGGGTCAGGCTGTCCCACTGCCCTCAGGCCACCGTGCTGCTGGGGTAGAGGGGAGCTAGGAGGCCTGCCTGCCTGCTTGCCTGCCAGAGGCCCTGAGGCTGGGCCCCAGGGCTCAGAGCTGGGCTGGGCATTTCAGCAGAAGTAGGTGTGGGAGCTGCTCCTCTCCACTCTCCCAGGGGGCTGTGTGGTGGGAGAGCTCTGTCCTGCTCCCCTGAGAGGCCAGTGGCCGCTGCAGCAAGTTGCACTCAGGGTAGACTCCCAGCCAAACTCCTCAACAGGAGAGCAGAGAAAGCAGCCTGGGGCGAGTGCAGTCTTTGCCAGGACTCAAGAGGGGAAGATGAACACCCCCTTCTCCCACTCCCCTCCTCTGTCCTGTGGGTTCCAGGGGGCGAGATGACATCCACACAGGTCTGCCTCTCAGGGCCCATTCAAAACCTGGTCTTTGACCCATTCTCCAAGCCAGGACTCCCTTCACTTCCTGCTGCTTCCTCAGAGGGCACCTGAGCCCTCTTTGGGAGCTGAGCAAACAGGAGCTGATAGGTACAGAGGACACCACTTCCACCAGCCAAAGCCTAGGAGCTGCTGACCTGGTCAGCTGTCACCCCAGCCAGGCAGAGGGGCAAAACCTGGGGGTCCCTGGCAGCTGCGAGATTGGAAAGGTTCATCAGCACTCCATCTGCCCCAGGCATTGTCAGGGAATCAGTGGGCTCAGAACTGGCAGGCGGTGCAAGCTCTGCTTCGCTGGGCCACTGAGGGCTGGGGCCAGCTCCCTGGATGGGGGTGGAGTCTACCAGCAGCCTCGGGACAGCATGTGTCCTTTTTAGGAAATGTCCTTGGAGGAAGTGTCCATGTGTGGCGCTGGTCAGCAGCTAGCCCCGCTTCCAGGACACTAGTCAGAGTTACCGATGGGGCCGGGGGGCTCCTGCTTGGAAACCCCTCCAGTTCCTCCCATCTGCCCAGAGCGACGGATGGCACCAATGCATGCTGGCTCCCTCATTCCTGCCCAGGGGCTGTGGCTTACAGCCAGCACCCTGTACCTGGGACTCAGTCCTTATCCCCCCTCTGCTATCTGTGCTGGGAGAGGGGCTTCGGAGGGAAACAGATATGAGGACACTGGCACCATCTGGGCCTGGTGGCAGGGCCATGGGAGGTTGGAATGCACCCACGTCCTTAAAGCCATCAGTAGCTACAGTGGGTGCCCACCTGCATGCGAAGGGGAGGCAGTTCTCAATTTATTTCAATAAACACTTATGATGTGCCAGTGACCAGAATTTCTGTCTGCTCCAGCTGTTGGGTTGGCCAGATTCTGCTGGGCCCTGAGTGTGGTGGGACAACAGGTCTGTCACCAGGTGCTGGGCCATCCGGCGTTCTGCACAGATGGCTTTGCCCAGTATTTTACTCACGGTCCTGAGCTGGGCCGGACGTCCCGAGTGCGTCATGTGGTGGTCACAGGGCGCTGCAGTGTGCGTGTGTACGCGCGCACGTGTGGGTCCCCTCCCCCAGGGATGCAGCCAGGCCAGTCTCATTCAGTCTCCTCTTTACTGTGGGTGTGGGTGTCACTGTCACTGCCACAGCCACTGGGAGGGACACACAGCTTTAACCCCCGTGTGCTTAGGGGAAGGGTGGGGGCATTCAGGGTTATAAAACTAACTATATACACAGAGGGTCCTGGGAGAAAGCCACCCTGAGCACACGTGTCTGGGCACAGTGGGGGCTGGGGGCTGGAACTCAGGCAGGACGGACTGGGCTTGTGGAGGGGCGGATGGGCATGAGCACGTGAGGACATGCTGGGAGGGCTCGGGAGGTGGCACAGACATTGCCAAGGCTGCTGCAGGGCCTCGAGCAGCTTGGCTGGGTGGCAAGCTCTGGGTCTAACAAGGTTCCTCCACTTTAGGGTTGGGCCCTGTGAGAGCCACCCCCTCTGTCACCGACCTTAAAGTCCCGAGTGGAGAGAGAGGCTGCAGGACCAGCCTCATTCCCCACTCACGGGTGTAACCCCTTTCTTCACTCAGTCCCCAGGTCTGGAGGGCACCCAGCCTCTTCAACAGGCCAAAGCCCAGGGTGCCTCTGTGGGCTGGGAGAATAAGGCAAGCGGAGCATCCACTTGGAAGGCCTGGGCTGTGGAGGGTGCTGAGGGGGACCCAGTACCCCTGGCAGAAAAGTGACAGCCCTGGTCTCAGAGAGGAGGACTGCCATGGGGAAATGTCTCTGGGACACCCCATCAGGGTGGAGACATCCCCAACCCTCAGGCATCGCCCACAGAGATGGGGAGGCCACCGAGGGCTCTCCACGGAGATGGACTGGCACTTAGGGACCATCACAGACCTATCACCGCAGTGACTTCTATAGAGACTGGGCCTGGTCATCAGGGAGAACCCACCCCCTGCTCCCCCAGGAGGACGGTGAGGGGCACCGTGGTGGTGGGGCCCAGAGGCGGCAGTCCGTCCTCTCAGGTGCAGATGAGTGGCGGCCCTTAGCTGACGCGGTACGTGGACGTGTTCTTGGGCTCCGTGCTGGGCACACACCAGTCGCCGGCCTCCTGGATGGTCTGGTAGTGGCGCCAGGCTGACTTGTTGTAGACAGGCAGGCGCTCCACCGAGTCCGTGGACAGGGCCTGGGGAGTGCCAGGGTCAGCCCCTCCTACCTCCCTGTGCCTTGTCCACTCCTCAGCAGACCACCCCACCCCAGCTCAGCGGCAGCCCAGCTGCCAGACACGGGGGCCTGCAAAGACCCACGAAAGGGTGGTCTCTCCTGTGTCCCCCTCCTGCCCATTCAAGAAAGCAGCTCTCTCTAAGGGAGGGAGAAGGAAGGGGAGGAGGCTGGGCTGTGTGACCCTGAGCAAGTCACCGACTCCGGGCCTCAGTCTTCTCTCCTCTGAGCTGAATGGCAAGATCTAGGGTGTCCCCTTCCTTCTGGGTCTAACAAGTCAAGGGTTCCCAGCACAGGGGTCTTAATCATAGACCACAGACTCCCCTATATTCCCTGACAAGCTGTGCATGTCTGGGGGCTGAGGGTTCTTCAGGTTGAAGAACTGTAGCGTTGCTTGGATTCTCAGTCTGGGGCCAGGGAAGGACTGGGGGGGTGGAAAGGAAGGCTCGCAGCTGGCCAAGCCTGCCCAGGTCCCATCAGCAAACCTCTTCGCCAGCCGGGCTCTGCAGGAAGGGCCCTCACCTTGAGATAGATGACAGCGTCGGTCCCAAAGCCTTCCATGGAGAAGAGCTGCAGGTCTCCCTGGAAGTACTTGGCGTAGAGGCGGGAAATGGGGAGCCCGTAACCAAAACCAGCCTGCAGCGGGGCAGGAAGGCAGTGAGGATGAGGAGGCTGGCAGGGGCCTCCTGGAGCTGCAGGGACTGGCGCAGGGAGGGAAGGGTATGGAGCTGGAGTCACACGGCGGGGGTCCCAGAGCTGGAGTGGGGAGGGGACATGCGGGAGGGGACACTGAGGCAAGAAGTGGGTGTGGGTGAATGAGGGAATCATGACTGTGGGAGGGAGGCTTGGGCAGGGAGGGGAGTTCCGCTTAAGGGCCAGGAGGTCAGAGCAGGCCCCGTGGCTCCTTTGAGTCTCAAGTTCTCTAACAGGGAGGTGCTGACAAGTTGGACAACACTTGAGAAAGGTAGAAAGTGGGGGTTTGGGAGCCACAGAGAAGAGGGAAGATGGGGGAAAGGTGACAGAGAGACATCTGACATAGGTGAGATGTGTGCAGACTGGGGAGATGCGGGAGGCGCGGGGCCCAGATTCAAGACAGGTGACTGTCATAGACGGCCACACAGGAGCTGAGTGAGCAGGGGAAGTGAGTGAGGAGGAGAGAAGCCTCCCTCAGGAGGTGGGAGGGGCTGGGGTGAAGCCATCTCACCAACGGCGTCCCCCCGGTGCCAGGCTGGGGGGTGGGTGCTGTGGAGTACATGTAGCTGAAGAGTCGCTCAATCTTCCTCAAGGGAACACCCCCACCTCGGTCACTCATCTGGGAGAGAAGGGATGTGTCAGGGATTCTCTACAGCTCAGTTTCCCCACCCTGCCCGGTACCCTGACCTTCTCATGGTCTTCCCCACCCCCAAGATCTGCCCACCATGTAGGAGAAAAGGAGAGCCCGTCTCCTGGCAGGAGAGAAGCCCCCACTACTGCTCCCTGGTCCCCAAGGTCAAAGGGTCACATACCTTGATGGACAGATCTTCCTCACCCAAGGCCACCATGACCTTGATGGGTGGGAGAATGAGGCTGGACTCATGGCTTTCCACAGTCGCCCGCATGGCATTCTGCGGAGGGGCAGAGGTAAGAGAAGCATGGGAGAAGCCAGCCCTACCCACGCTCCCCGCAAAGCACCAGCTCCCAGCCTCCTCACCTTGAAGAGCTCAAAGAGCATGTGGTAGAGGTGGGAGGGGACATAGACCATGTGAATCGGCTGTTTGGAGTTGGCTGCTGCAGGGCAAGTCAAGAACAAGGGTCAGGAAACTGTCAGGAGGCCACCGCTCAACCACCTTACCCAAAGGAGGCACCCCTCCCACAAGGTTCTAACTGAGTACATGGCTACCCAGCGAGAGACTAAATCCCCAGCCTCCCTTGAGCTGCGGTAGCCGGTGACTCATGGAAGTGATGCATTCAATTCTTGGGCCCTGCTTTCCACACCCTTGTTCTCTTCCTCCAGGCTAGAATCGAATCAGGGGTGGGGAGCCAGCCCTGACCTCCCCAGCTAGAGGCTGGCGAGAGGGAAACCTCCCTCTTAAGTAAGCCACTGGTATTGGGGTTCTAGGGAAGCAGCCAAGCTGATACACCATCTAACATGCCCCTCCTCCCCATCCCTGTTGAGTTACCCCATTTTATTTCCTTCCTGTCACTCATCATGATCTGAGATGGTCTTGTTTATTTACTTGTTAATTGGCTGAAGGTCCCATTTCCCAGTCTTCACAGCACCAAAAAATGTAAGCTGCATGAGAACGGTGACCATTTCTGTCTTGCTTACTCTTTCATTCATTCATTCACTCAATTTCTTATTTGCTTGAGATGAAGTCTCGCTCTGTCACCCAGGCTGGAGTGCATTGGTATGATCTCAGCTCACTGCAGTCTCAGCCTCCCGGGTTCAAGTAATTCTCCTGTCTCAGCCTCCCAAGTAGCTGGGATTATAAGCATGTGCCATCATGCCCGGCTAATTTTTGTATTTTTAGTAGAGACAGGGTTTCACCATATTGCCCAGGCTGGTCTCAAACTCCTGACCTCAAGTGATTGGCCTGCCTTGGCCTCCCAAAGTGCTGAGATTACAGATGTGAGCCACTGTGCCCCGTCCAAATATTTATCAAATGAATTAATAATACAATAATAACTCTGCTTCTCCCCTGTCTAGAAAACAGTCCATCTCCTCACTCCCCATCTCACCTTGCCCTGCTGTGTCCCCAGCCCCAAGACAGACACACATATAGCCACGCTCACTCACCATTGATCTCCTGGATCTCCAGGTCAGGTGAGGCCATGTAATACTTGTCACACAGGAGCTTAGCCATGTCGTAGGCATCTGAGAGAAGATGGGGTCATTCAGGGCATGGGTGGCCCACCCAGCAGGCAGTCCTCTTGACATTGACACTGGGGACCACCAGCATTAAACCCATAGCACCCCTCACTGAGGAACGAGTCACCCTCTGGCCAGGTAAGCTTGGAGGGGTCCCTGGGACTCCTCTGCGGGCCAGGCACTGTGGGAATGGCTCACCTTTGACCACCTCAGAGACGTTGCAGTTGGGGTCAATGCTGCCAATGTGTTTGGGATGGGCTGGGTTGGTGCTGCCGTCAAAGATGAGGGCTACAGGCAGGAAGGGAGGGTGCTGTTGGCTGGGCTGCAGTCTGTCCCAGCGCTCCCTCTTCCCCTGGGCTCTCCCCCTCTCTCTACTTTCACCTCCAATGCCTTTGTAGGCTTCAGTCCTAAAGCTGCCCCGCTCCCCTGCTTCTGTCCTCCCTTCCCTGACCCCTGACACCTCCAGCCCTGGCTCAGGCCGTTTTTAAACCTTTGCGTTGGACCTTTGCAAACCTGAAACAGACATCTTTTCAGAGGTCTCTCCCCACATCACATCTCCACATTGCATTTATTCTTTTCTTTGACTATAACATTCTAACTCTTACCACCTTGCTTTGGAAATTATTTGAGCATGAGGAACTTGTTTCACTTATGACTGGCTACAACTTCTCAAAAATCATAGTGAATCTTCCTGGAATAAGAAACTCTAAACAACAAATCGTTTTTGAACATAATGAGAGTTTTTATGAATACTAAATTAAACATTCTTTTAAAGATGTGACATAATTTTACATTTTGCAAACATTGAAAACAAAACGTTTTTGAAATGGAAAATGAATGAGAAAGAAAAATTTTATTTTTCCATGTCGGAGCCATTAACTCCAAAGTTACTGGAATAACTACTCAAAGACTCCTTCTGTGCGGTTCTGAAGAGTGGCCTAGGTCCCCTCAGCAGCCCGGCCCTGGGTCCCAGCACCGCCCCCCACACCCCGCCACCGCCACCATGGCTGGCACCCACTGTGCTGGTTGATGAGCATGCGGATGGAGATGCGGCTGAGGTAGAAGCGGTCCAGGAAGTACTGGATGTTCTGGTTGGAGACGGGGTCATCACCATAGGTGTCCTTGTACTCAAGCACGCCTTGTGCCATGGTGGGCACCACGTCGTTGTGCCGGTTCCGGATGGTGACCAGGGCATCAGTGAACCTATGGGGCAGGGCAGGTGTTCACATGGTATACCCCCAGACTCCCCTCCGTTTCTGACTCCCCTCTCCAGTGTCTTTCTTCACCTGCTCCACCCTTCCCAATCTGATGGACTCCCAATGCCCTCCCTGCTCCTCCCAAAGCCCACTCTGATTTTTTAGCTGCCTGCCGGCAGGCTTCCCACCTCAAAGCCCAGAGTTCTCATCCTCCCCAGGGCAGGGCCTGGGTCTTGCCCACCAGGCTCAGGGAACAGTGAGAATGGAGTCCATGTCTCTCCCATCAAACTTGGGGCTCCCTGAAGCAGAGTCTGCCTCCCGTCTCAGACTGGACGTTCCTGAGGACAGGCGTCTTTTCTTCCATCCTGCTGTACTTCTGCCCCAGGGGCTGCAACCCCAGATGCCCCTGGCCAACACCTGCCTTCCTTCCCCACCCAGGGCCCCCACTCACTGGCTCAGGGTGCGATGGTCCTCGGGGTCCTTGTCCAGGAACTCCATTATGTCCAGGAGGCTCTGGACATACCTGTGCGGGGGCGGGAGGGGACACAGCCTCAGCTTCAGGTGGCTAGCCCCTCCTCACCCATTTCAGCTGGGCCTCGCTCTTGTCCTGCTCCTACGCGGGCCCCACACAGAGCTGCCCACAAGCCGCCTCACTATTTTTCTCCATCCATTTCATTTGTATGTGAGTCTCCCTGACAACCCAGTCAGTTATGCAAGAAAACTTCAAATGTGCTGGTCCCCCGTTTAGCACCTTTGCTTTGGAATCCTAGAATAGTCCTCTCAGAAGGGGCTTGGAGATGATCCCATCCAAGAGGCCTCACAGATCAGGAGACTGAGGCTGAGATGGGGTGGGGAGACTGGACCTAGCGCCTGCAGTGGGGGAAGGCAGGTAGGTGCATCAACTTCTCTGAACCCCAGCGTGGAAACGGCTCCTAATGTTTCTCCCCCCGGGGTACTGTTGCATCCAGTGGGACACAATGGCAGAAGGGCCGGCACAGGGCCTCCCAGAGTCACCCCTGACAGAGTGGCCAGCACAGGGCCTCCCAGAATGACTCCTGAGCTGGGGTGCTCTGGGCCAGGCACCTGCCTAGGCAATTGGATTCTAAAATGGCAGGTGGGAAGGACCCAAAGTTGGGGTAGGTGTGCCTGGCTCTGTCCCCAGGTGGGGCTGGGGCCCATAGAGAGTCCAGAGAAGCTCACTCTCCTGCAAAAGGCCGGGTAGGAGTAGGTGATGCCCTGCCGCCCCTCCCATCTACAGGCCTGATGGGGAGGCCAGTTTTCCCTGGGCTGCGAGAAGAGCTTGATGCTCTAAAAGAAGCATCAAGAACCCCTGAACTCAGCCAGGTGTGGTGACTCACACCTGTAATCCCAGCACTCTGGGAGGCGGAGGCGGGTAAATCACCTGAGGTCAGGAGTTGGAGACTAGCCTGGCCAACATGGCGAAAACCTGTTTCTACTAAAAACGCAAAAATTAGCCGGTCATGGTGGCGCATGCCTGTAATCCCAGCTACTCAGGAGGCTGAGGTAGGAGAATTGCTTGAACTTGGGAGGCAAAGGCTGCAGTGAGCCGAGATCGCACCACTGCACTCCAGCCTGGGCAACAGAGCAAGACTCTGTCCCCCCTAAAAAAGAAGCCCTGAACTCAGGGACGGCAGCAGGCCTCCTTCTGCAAGGGAGTCAGGCCCACCTGTGGTGGCAGATGGTACCGAGCTGGAGCCACTGTGCCCCATGCCCTGGGGAGCCATGACCTGTTTCCCTGCTAACATGCCCAGTCTGTGGCTTGTTCCTTTGGGGAGGGCAGGAAGAGCCTCTCTCTGGCAGAAACACTTATAACCAGGAGGAAGGGGGGGGCTGCCTAGAGCCCTGCAGCGGCGAGGGCCCCAGGGGCCCAACAGTGTTTCTAGAAAAGGCCCCACCACACGAGGACTCATTCCCACGTCCACAGTGCTCTGACCTTCACTGTAACCTGAACAGGTACGTCAGGCAGGAATCAGTCCCACGCACAGCCTCCCCCAGGGAGGCGTGAAGAGGCCCCATAGCTAGTAAGTGGGATGAGGAAGTACCGAGTCTCCAGCGCTCTTGCCACCCCAGGGTGCTGATTCCGCTCGACTCTCACCTCCACGCTTCTGTTCACACACTGCCCTCTGCACTGTGAATGCCCTGCTAGGAATGCCTTTCCCCTTAAACCTAGCGTCTGCTGCTCTTGCTCTTGCCTGGCAGAGAAGAGAGTGAAAGAACGAGCTCTGGACCCAGAACTGGCTCTTTAAGCACCAGGAGCTGTGTGGCCCTGGGTAGGTCAAGGAGCCTCTGTGGGCCTGAGTTTGCTCGTTAGGAAAATGGGGATTGTGATACGTATTTACTGCTTTGCGGTGAGAATTCCATGTGATGATTAGCACAGTGCCTAGCACATAGTGAGCACTCTCTAAATGCTTGCTTTTATTATGGCAGGTGGCTCAAACATCGTGGACAGCTGCGTGCATCCTCTGAGCCCCCAGGCGGCATCTGATACTCTCCCACTGCTTGTAGGCTCTGAACCACAGCATGTTTGAGCCCCTATGCCCTGGAGACCTGCCCCACTGCCACAGGAAGGGGGCTGTCTCAGGCCCAGAGCTAACCGCCCACCCCTCCCTACCCAGAGCTCTGCACAGAGCCGGAGAGGAGGAGCTGTGGCTGCTGAGGGCGCTGGGGGCCCTGACAGCAGAAAAGATCAGCCTTCATCTCAGCCCCCAACACCATCCCTGCCACCCCACCCAGCAGATGATCAGGCTGGCACTCCTAAGACCTGTCTCCCTGGAGAATAACATAGCGACCACTAACGCCCACCTGTGCCGAGTCCCACACAGGGTCTCTCCTCTGCCAATAGCCCTGATGAACACAAGGTATTTCCCTTTTTTTTGCAGATGAGACCAGCACTGAGAGGTTAGGTGATATGCCCCAGGCCACACAGTAAGCAGCAGGCTGGGATTCAAACCCAGCTCTCGCAGACTCCAAGTCTACACCACGTGGCCAACAGCCGACACTGGCGCTGACGGTGATGCTGCTGCTGATGGTGATGGTGGCATGTACTGGGTATCAATGGCCAGGTCCACCCTGTGCTTCCCTCATGCCCCACTTTCACCTCTGCAAGAACCCCGGAGGTAGGCACTACTGCTGGACCCATTTTACAGATGAGGAAGTTAACACGCAGAGCTGAGATTCTCTCTCCCAGGCCCACATGGCTCCGAATCCCTTGCTCCCTAAATGCACCCAGGATAGACCTTCATGCTCATATAATTCTTAGGGGAGAGAGGGCCTGCATGCAGGCAGTGCTAGGGGCAGGTGGGGAGAGGAGGGAGAGGAGACCCACTGCAGAGTGGGGCCTGGGACCCCTTCCCAGGGGGCAGGTGGGGATGAAGCAGGTGGGAGCTGGGAGGCTAAGCCACTTCCCGACTGTGCTGGTCGGTGGGTGGGGGTGGGCACGGTCAAAGTCCCAGTCTCACCTAGGGAGAGTGCCCCAGCTGCTGGCACCACCCCTTTTGTGGCTGCTCAACAACCCTAGAGGGCAGAAATGGGACCTGGTCATGTGGCCACTGAAGTGGAGCAAAGGGCACTGGCATGGAGTGACAGCGGGCAGCGCCTGCCAGCCTCTCTCACAGGGCCAGGGCTCCTCCAGGGCAGGGGGCCCGGGCTACTCTTAAAATGGAGGGGAGAGGATGAGGATTTTCCCAGAGGTCCCTGGCCTTGCCCTGAAGCCCCTTAGGGGCCTGGTACACCAAATGTCACCCTTGGGCCGGTTCTTGGTCCTAAGAAGAGAGATTGGGGATGAGTGGTGTTGGCCTCTGGGCTGCCCACCCCTTGCAGGCCAGACAGAATATATAAGGGAGACCTGAAAGCAGTGGTGCAGTGACAGAGAGGCACCAACAGACGGGAGAGGCACTGCCCCCACCCCTCCCCGGGCCTGCAAGGAGGCTGGGGTCTTTGGGCCTGCTGACCTCTACAGTAATCAAGGCCCCCAGGAGTCCCTTGGTGAGATTCGGAGCTCCCAAGCCCAGCCCAAGGTAATGTGGAGGTCCATCCAAACCCTGCTTTCCAGGGCTCCGGAACCAGTCTAGAGCCCCAGGATTGGGAAGGAGGAGGTGTGGGATGCATGCAGAAGCGAGGGGCCTTGGTGAGAGTGTGGGGCTGAGAATGGGCGGTGGGGGCGGGAGCAGAGGGTGAGCAAGTATGGGAGGAGGGCCCTGCAGCCCCGTGTGGGAGCAGAGGGGGTGCTGAGCCAGCGGGCGAGTGTGTGTAATTGTGTGCATGTGGCATGTGCGTGCCTGTGGGTGTGTGTGAGGCTGTGCCCTGTGCACTCATATCCACAGCTGCTGGCGAGCAGGGTGTGAACAAGGGAAAGGCTGGGGAGGGGGTGCTCGCTGCACCTGGGGGAGAGGTGGCGGTGTCCTGCCTCCGGAGCCTCTGAGCCAGGCAGGTTTGGGTTCTGCTGCTGATTGCGCCTTAAAGAGGCCACCGAGTCCCTCAGGTCCCCATCTGCAAAATGGGGTTCACAGGAGTAAGCACCTCGTGGGCCTGGGTGTACAGAAAAGGAGATGATGCCTCGAGTACATGCGTAGTAAGTGGTCGGTTCTGCTCCGGCCATGCAAGGAGCAGCTGACGGATTTGGAGAGCTCATCTGGCTTTAGCAGGTCCTGAGCACCCAAGCCACACCCTCTGTGTGGGGTCCACACACCTTGCTGACAAGCAAGGGAGGTTTGTGCGAAGGTGCCGGCCATATCACCTCCCACCTACAGCCCCCACAAATATCCTGTTAGTGATAGCAGTGAGTCATTGTCATTTGATTCTACTCGGCGGCTCCTGCTTAACCCTGCATTTTCTGGAAGCACATTCCCACGACTCCATGCCTGGAGAGGAGCCGGGGTTGTCCCTTTCCGTCTCTAACAACACCAGCTGTCAACAATTCTGTAAAGTGAGTTCTGCTCTCCCACAGACTTGCAACATGAACTTGGAAATCTCTGACTCCACATCACCGCCCAGAACGCAGGCTCCCTTCTTTCCCTTCAAGAATCCAGTCTCCATATAACAGCTGGGTTCGAATCCCAACTCCACCATCTACTCACTGAGTGATCTCAGATAAGTTTTCTCGGCCGGGCGCGGTGGCTCAAGCCTGTAATCCCAGCACTTTGGGAGGCCGAGGCGGGTGGATCACGAGGTCAGGAGATCGAGACCATCCTGGCTAACATGGTGAAACCCCGTCTCTACTAAAAATACAAAAAACTAGCCGGGCGTGGTGGCAGGCGCCTATAGTCCCAGCTACTCGGAGGCTGAGGCGGGAGAATGGCGTGAACCCGGGAGGTGGAGCTTGCAGTGAGCCGAGATCGCGCCACTGCACTCCAGCCTGGGCGACAGAGTGAGACTCCGTCTCAAAAAAAAAAAAAAAAAAAAAAGTTTTCTTCACCTCTCTGAACCTCAGTTTCTCATCTAGAAAATGGGATGATAGCAAGGACTACCTCATAAGGTTGTGAAGATGAAATGAGTTAATATGTGTAGACACTTAGGACAGCTCCTGGGACACAGCCAGCCTTTGGAGGTGTTTGCTTTTGTTATTATCATAATTTATTACTACCTTGCCCAAGAAACCACACCACAATTACATCATCTGTGGGCTGGAGGTGTTGCTGCCTGGCAGCCTGGGGACGTGGCTTGTGTTGGTAGAGTTCTGCACACTTTTCACATCCAGCACTGGCCCTTGGCCCTTACAAACACAATGGGTCCCCATTTTACAGATGAGGAAGCTGAGGCTCAGAGATGCCATATGACTTGCCCAGGATGAAGCTTGAAAGTCACGCATGCCGAGGTCAAACCTGGGACTTTCCCTCCCAGTCCAGTCTCCACCAAAACAGGGCCCACTATCGCAAGTCTGTCCAGTTGAAATAACGTATCAGGGTTATTTAGAACCAGGAATTCTCAGCTCGCCCACAGTGACTCTGCCTAGACCCTCTCCCCAGCAGAGTAGAAACTCCATTTCTGTGACCACAGATGAACCGTGACCACTAATAACTGCATCTGCTGAGGGTTCTTGTGTTTTCCAGAAAAGAGGGTTTGCTCCTTACTCATCAGACTCAGGCTAGAGGCCCTCTTGCCAAGCTCCCTGGTAAAGTCTCCCTTCCTCCTCTCAGGCACCTAGAACCTGCCCACCTCCATCGTTCCAGCTAGCAGGCTGTTCCTCCTGGAGAAAGAGGTCTCCACTCTCTCACAGGCAGCCACCTCAACCCTGTCGGGAAGTCCTTCTTGTCCTCACACTGCAGTCTCTCTTGCTGCAGCCAATGCTCATTCTCTCTGGAAACATTCTTGGCAGGCTGTCTCTTCAGCATGTTGGGATGCTTTAGCAATCCCTCGGCCCGCTCTCCTCCAAGCTGAATCTTTCATTGAGGAAGCGTTCTCTCTTGTCTAACTTCATTCCCTCCCACTGTTACTTGACATTACTTGCAAGCTTTGTGGAAGAATGTCAGGCCAACCCCTTATCTGCGTCACTGATTTTTCAGGAAGGGACTCTGCAGGGGCCCCTGGGGGAGTCATGGGAAGCTCAGCAGCCCTGTGCCCTCCTTCTGCATCCCTCAGCTCTCCCAGGAACACGGTGTCCAGGGAGGGGCCTGAGAAGTTCTGCCCTGAAGTCAGGGACCAGGTGGAGAGGCAGCCAGGTCAGGCAGCCGGATAGAGCCAGAGGAGGGCCAGGGAGAACAGATGGCACCTTCTGTCTCCTTCCCACCACTCCACACCACCCACGGTGGGAAGTGTTGGTTGGCTCAGAGGTCCTGGACCTCCGAGAGGCAGGGCACAGCAAGGGGTGACCTGGTTGGGTTCCATGAAAATCAGGCTCTGTGCCTCATGCCTCCGCCCCTTCTTCACAGCCCACACTAACAGCACAATCTCCAGAAAGTCAGTTCCCAGCTACATTAGCCAGGCCCCTTCCTGTCTCCACACCTTTGCCCAGCCTATTCCTTTAGCCTGGAATGCCCTTCCCTTCCTTGTAGCTCTAAGCTTGCCTAGGTACCCTGTAAGGTCCAGTGACAAGTCACCTCCTCTGCATGTCCATGGCAACTGCCCCACAACGTGTCATTCAACCAACATTCATGGTGTATCCACTACACTCCTGGCCTTGTGTGTACAACACTACCCCTCACCATATCTCATTTAATTACAATAAGCCCCATATACACAGGTCCGTGCATAGAAAACAGTGCGGAAAGGCACCACTACATCTGATGAAACTGAGCTGTGTTCCGTTAGGGGGTGGAGGGGAGTGGTTGGCAATTTCTTCTATCTACTATTTTGCGTTTTCCAAGTGTCAAGTGACCCTGTTATACTTCCACAATAAAGGAAAAGTATCAATGTTCTTTTAAAATAATGTTTGGATTCCTAATTTAAATAAAACGAACTCTTCGGCAGCTCCCTGCTCCTAGCACTATGCTGGACTCAGTTCACCCTGCCTGCGTATTATTTTTCCTTCCAGATCACAGGCCCCTGAGGGCAGCTGCTGTGACTTCGCATGGCTTTAGGCTCAGAGTACATGTGGGCATGTGCTCCTGAGTCTACAAGGAAATCACAGCCATATCATACTGCAAGTCCAGAAGAACCAACAGAAGATGTCCGCACGGGTGCCACCAAAGTCAATGAGGATTAGCTATTTTACACGCCCAGTGACAGGGGACACCCTTGTTTATTCTTCATGTGACTGGCCTTTGGCTAATTTCATCCAGTTACTTGAGTTCTTGAGTGAAGCCTGCTGAGCCTTTCCCTCTGTTCCTGCTGCAGTGCGCAATAAACTTTTGGTCTTTGCCCCTCCAAAGCTCTGCGGGAAGGCACTGTGCCATCCCTGTGTGTATCTGAGTATTTTCCAACATCCAAAACAGTCTATCTTGCAGCTTGGGTTGTATAGTTTATTTGAAAACTTGCTTCTTGTTTCTGTTTCCCAAAAAGTCACCCCCAAATAAATACTGCCTAACAGCCACTCGAGTTCCAGCACACTGGGCTGGTAGCTAACGCTGACATCAGCCTAATTTGGGGTTTTGGCTGTGAAAACCATGTTTTCCTGGGTGGATCCTGGGTTTCCAAAGAAAGGTGGGTGGTAAGAGGGCTACACATGGAGACCAGGAGCTTGACCTCAGTCCTGCTTTGGCCTCAGATTCCCATGTGACCCTAGGCAACTCCAAGCTCTTGGGGCTTTGGTGTCTCCTGTCTGTCCCCACCCCACCCTCAAGGCTGCTAAAAGCTTGGAGACTCCATCCCTGAGCCCAGGCACACTGGCGATGGAGTGGGAGGTGCAGGGACGGAGCCAGGGGTCTCACCAGCTCTGCACCAGCTGCACAGAGGGTGTGCTCAGCACCCGGTCGGGAAGCAGGTTGATCTCCTTCATGATGTTGGCCAGGCGCACAGGCAGCTCCTGCCTGAGGAAGGTGAAGGAGGTTTTCTCACAGGCATTGCTGGATCCTGGCAGGAGAAAGAGACGTGAGCCACAGAGCCACCAACTATGAAAGCCAAAGGATGTCTCGGCCAGGTCAGCTAAACCCTTCATTAACTGGGGGTTCAGAGAGCAACTGACCTGCCCAGGGGCACACAGCAAGGCTCCCCATCCCCTGCAGGGCTCAAACACCTACACCCTGTGCCTAACACTCCAGGGGGTGGCATCCTCTCCTCACCCCCAGCTGAACCCTGCTTGCCTTTAACCACAGTAGACAGGGCCACTACTGGGCCCATTTGGAAATGCCTCTGGCCTCAGTCACCTCACTTCTCTTTCCTCCTCTCCCAGCACACTCACTTTGAGGGGCTGATCCCGGAGGCAAAGGAGCCTGGGAAACCCATCCCTACCTAGGACTGGGCTCTGGCTGAGGGGGACTATGGCCAGACCACCACTGCGGTGTCCCAATATTGTCTCTGGCCAGCCCACCTCACCCAGCCTGGCCTGAATGCCCATGTGGGGCTGCTGTGTCTTAATGCCCATCCATGAGGCAAATGGGCCCAAGAACAGGAGTCCAAATGCCACGGTCCTTGTCTGGCATCAAGATGGAGAGGGTGGGGGCCCGAATAAGGCCTTGGCCCAGGGTCAGAGGCCCTGGGTTCCAGTCCATCAGGCTCTGCTTGCAACTCTGTCACCCAGGCCATGCCATCATCCTTTTGAAGGTCTCAGTTTCTCCCATAAAACTACAAGTTGACCGGCCGGGCGCAGTGGCTCAAGCCTGTAATCCCAGCACTTTGGGAGGCCGAGACGGGCGGATCACAAGGTCAGGAGATCGAGACCATCCTGGCTAACACGGTGAAACCCCGTCTCTACTAAAACATACAAAAAACTAGCCGTGCGAGGTGGCGGGCGCCTGTAATCCCAGCTACTCGGGAGGCTGAGGCAGGAGAATGGCATGAACCCGGGAGGCGGAGCTTGCAGTGAGCTGAGATCCCGCCACTGCACTCCAGCCTGGGCCGCAGAGCTAGACTCTGTCTCAAAAAAAAAAAAAAAAAAAAAAACTACAAGTTGACCAAACTGTACTGTGAGCCCCCAACAGCTGTGGTGTTTCTGTAATGAGGGTGCAGTTTGTGGGGACAGTGGCTGGGGGCTAGGAGTGGGCCCAGGAGGCTTTCCTACATGGGGGAGGCTCAAGACTCAGACAGGGCAGGGGTGCAGGCAGACGAGTCCTGAGGAACAGGTGCCCTGTGTCTCGGCTGCCACCTCCCTGCTCCCGTCGCACCACTGACGTAGCTGCACCCCAAGCCAGGCACTATCAACTCAACTCTTGAGAAACTGCCCCCCACCCGCAGTTCCCAGCTGGCACCATGGAAATACCACGTAGACAGACAGGGCCCACACAATGCCCGTTTCAGCCGCCACACTGGCACAGCCTCCCTCCTGCCCCAGGGCCACCCCCAGAATGCTGGTAGTGGGTGATCCTGACCTAGCAACCCTGGGGCAGCCAAGGGAGGTATAGGCGGCTTGACTCCACATCACGGTGCCTGGGGCCCCTGCCCAGCTCGGGAGAGGCTGCCAGGCCGGAACAGATTTGATCTTCAAGTGTCCTTGCCTACTGGGGCAGCTAGGGTCCAGCTCCTTCTGTGGGTGGATGCCTACCAGTCACGGCACTCTCTCCCGCTGGCATCTTCTGAAAGAGACCCCTTCCCCAACTGCTCCTGGCTTAATCTCACCCACTGCCCAGGGGTGTCTGATCCTTCGTGCCCAGTCCAGGTCTCTCTCCAGACGGCTGCACCTCTCAACCCTGCCTCCTCACTCCCACCAACAGACCCCCAGTTTCCTCTGGTGGGAGGAGGGGCTCCTACTCCTCCAGTCATGAGGACAACTCCCATTAACCTTTTAGCGTCCGGATACCACCCTACTCCCTTCCTGTAGTAACATCGCAGCTTCACTGCCCCTAACTCTTCAAGACCCCTCATGAAGCCAAGGAAGAAACCTCGGGACCGTCCTTGTAAGTGCCCCCCCATTCCCATCAACAGCCCAGTCGAGAGGCCCCGGCCAGTCCCTCCTTCCCCATTAACTCTTTCCTGCCTGTACCTTTCCAAACAACCCTTCTCTGTCACTCGGGGCCTTTCTTCTGCTCCGTCCCCCCTGGCCCCCGGCTGCCCCTCCCAGCGCCCCGCGGGCCTCCGCTGCCAGCCGCCTCCCGCCCACTCCGTACCGAAGTCCAGAAACTGCTTCATGGACAGCGGGGACGGGGAGAACTTGCTGAAGTGCTCTATGTACTTGGGCGCCCCAGCCAGGGACGCATTCTTGAGCAGCGCCCAGACCCAGCGCATGGCTGCTGCGGCCGCGACTCGGGTTGTGGTCCCTGCGCTAGCAGCGCTCGCGCACCGTTCGGCCCAGCGACGCGATTCGGCCGCCTCCTCCCTACCCTTGCCCTGGCGAGCACTCCAAGGCCCAGCCAATCGGCTCGTCGTGGCGCCTCGACGTCGCCAATGGCCACTCACAAACAACTCCGGGAGAACCAATAGCTTTCCGCCCCGGCACGTGGCTTCCCTCCAGGCCCGCCCCCTTAACCCACGCTTTGCCTGAGCGGCCTGTTGTTTTGGGGAGGCTGCGCCGAGATCCCACCTCCCCTGTGTTCACGCGTCCCTTTCCTCCCGGGGGCGAAGCCGGGGTTAACCCCTTCCTTCCCAGAGCCCCGCCAGCCCTTTCGTTTCCTCTTCCACGCCTGCCTTTCCCTCGCTATCTCCTTGCATCTCCTTCACCCGCCGGCTCCTTTTAACCCTTCCTTTCCAGAATTGTCTAGGTAGCTTTCAACCAATCCCTTTCCTCCAACTCAAAGGTACCTGTTTCACCTGTCATCATCTTTACCTGCCCTCCCTTAACGGGTCTTGGGGATTCCCAGTCCGGATGACAGTGACCCAGACTGCGAATGTTTGCAAAATTCGGAACCAGGGTGCAAGCCTATACGAATCCGTCCCGTATATGTGCAGCCCACCCACTTCCACAAAGATCTGAGCGGCTCAGGAAAAGGTGGAGTTTGCTTTTCCAACTGAAAAACATCCAGAGTAAAAACCGTCACGACTAGTGGCGGTGGAGGCGGCAGTTATCGTCCATGCCAGTTAACACTTTCATTTTATTATATAGCTCATCTGACCGAACATAAAGCCTTGGACATCTAGCGCGACCACCTGAGAAAGCCACCTCCTTCGCAACGGGCTTCCTTAGAGCAAGATTCCAGGAGGTGAAGTGTCTCTGAGGGGCCGGGAGCCCGTCCTTCATCAGCAGCCCCGCTTCTCTTGGAGAAAACGTGATGCGCCCTCTTGTGGCCGATCGTGGGCTTAGGGCCCGACCCGCCACTTTGATGCTTTCTTTGCTCGGTGACATTAGCCTAAAATGTGTTAGGCTTTCTGCTGGAAACAGGGAACACAGACAGGATCAAGAAATGGCTTTTTTCCTCAGTGATTTCATTTCTACGTTTCAGAGATAGCTACATAAGTAAATAATTAGCTATAACTGAATATGATTGTAATACAGACCTCACAAACTTCGCAAATGGAAGGGCCTCTTAGCTGGAAGAATAATAAGCTATATGCCAGGCACTGTCTGCAGACATTATCTCATTTAATTCTCTATTTTATTATTCTTAGCCTCATTTCGTAGATAAGAAAGCCAAGACTCGGATCATTGTCAACTGCAAATCTGACCTTATTACTTCCTTGCTCACAGCCTTTCAATGGGCTATTTTTTTTTTTTCAGATGGAGTCTCACTCTGTCGTCCAAGCTGGAGTGCAGTGGCACAACCTTGGCTCATTGCAAACTCCTCCTCCCAGGTTCAAACGATTCTCCTGTCTCAGCCTTCCAAGTAGCTGGGATAACAGGCGTGTACTACCACACCTGGCTAATTTTTGTAATATTAGTAGAGACAGGGTTTCACCATGTTGGCCAGGCTGGTCTTGAACTCCTGAACTCAAGTGATCTCCCCACCTCAACCTCCCAAAGTGCAGGGATTACAGGTATGAGGCACTGTGCCTGGCCATCAATGGCTCTCTTCTTCTTACCGGAGCCTTTCCGGTTGTCACACAATTGGCTTTTGCTTAATTCTCCAGACTCCTCTCTCTCCATTCCGCCACGCAGCTCCCAGCCATACCTGTCTGCTGCCTTGAACCAGCCTCTAATCTCTAAGCCACTGCAAATGCACCTCTTCTGTATGGATCATTCTTTCTTCCCAGCTTCACCTGCCCATTCTTCAGGTCTCAGCTGCTTAGGCATCCCTTCCTCCTGGAAGCCTTCCCTGATCTTACTAAGCTGGGTCATAGGCTCCCTTCAAGGGCTCCTTAGATCTCCTGATCTTAGCAAATATTTGTAGTCTGGGTCACTGTCATCCAGACTGGGAACCCACAAGGCCCCTTAAGGGAGGACAAGGAAAGATCAGGACACGTGAAACAGGTACCTTTTTGAGGAAAGGGATTGGCTGAAAGCTACCTGGACAAATCCAGGAAGGAGGGGTTAAAAGGAGCTGATGGTAGCTCTTATCAATTGAGTGAAAATTGTTTGCTGACTGATCTGTTTTCCTGCTAGACTTTAAGCTCCATGAGGGCAGGGCAGGTGTTGTATCTGTCTTGTTCACTGCTCTATCTCCAGCATCAGGCAGTGCTCAGCACATAGTAGGGAGGACAGGGTGAAAAAGAAGACAGGGTGAGCAGGGGAGCATACCGCAGACATATTCCAGAGAACCACCAAACATCCAGTGGGCTAGCAATTAGGACGTGATTGATGATGCTGGTGAGTGCAGTTTTCAAGTACACAGAAGAATATATAGAATATTATGTACAAAAAACCTGGCCCTCACTTTGGGAGGCTGAGGTACGAGGATTGCTTGAGTCCAGGAGTTTGAGACCAGCCTGGGCAGCATAGCAAGATCTTGTCTCTACAAAAAATATAAAATTAACTGAGTGTGGTGGCAGGTACCTATAGTACCAGCTACTTGGGAGGCTGAAGTGGGAAGATTGCTTGAGCCCAGGAGGTCAAGGCAGCAGTGAACCAGAGCCATGATCATGCCATGGCACTGCAATCTGGGTGACAGAGTGAGACCCTGTCTCAAAAAAAAGAGGCCTATTTCTGTGCCTAGCAATAAATGGTAGCTATTGCTGTTATTGTCAAAATTAAAGTAACAAGGAAAAGACCATGGCCTCTAAGGCTAGGTGTAGGAGAGGGAAAGAGATTTCCCATGACCCTCACCTTAGGCTGGACTTCCACAGTGTGGGCTCTGTGCTTGGATAAGAATTCCTTCTGCAGAGCCTGCTGCAGGGTGCTAACAACAGTGGTGTGATGTGGTACATCACAGTCAAGTTTAGTTAGGTGATGCTGAGGTAAACCGCACCCTGCCCCCCGATTCCCAAATCTCCCACTATATGTGTAACATGGGTTGGTGGGGGACTCTCCAAGGAGCTCAAAAAACTTGGCATTGCAGAGGGTTCTTTTACAGCGGGCATTGCTACATCTCTGCCAGTTATGTTTCTTTCATAATATGTAGCTTACGCTAGTTCTGAAAATGACTTATCCTCGAGAGAGAGAGTGTGTGTGTGTGTGTGTGTGTGTGGTCTTCCTCAAGCAGTGGCTGACAGGAGACTGGGGGGTCTGTGAAACTGGCCAGAGGAATGTGTAAACACCCCTGTCTTAAGCAGTAAGTGGCTGTAAGAACAAGACTGGGCCGAGCTTTGACAACGCACATGTGTTATGCCCAAAGAAGTGGATCCCAGATTCTAGAAAATAAAGTGTCGTCTCCACTCACTGGGTTCTGAGAGCCTGGCAGCTCCGGGTAGGGGCTACGGTTTTCCTGGGGAAAGTGGACATTCCATTGTCAGTCACCCTGGGAAGGGGCAAATCCAGGCACAGAAAATGAGGAGGGGGAAAGGGGCACACATTGGGCCCCGAACCCTGTTGTGAGCTGAGCACTGGTGGAGGGAGGTGGGGCAGACAGCTGCCACCACGAGGAGGCTGGGAGGCACCCAGGCATCAGGTGGGCCTCCCAGAACAGCCTGGGTCTGTGAGCTCTGAGCATATCTGACCTGGCTTCTACCTCTGGACTTCTCTGGGTAGCAATTTCCAGCCTCCAGTGAAGTCTTACCAAAGTTCACAGCCTTGAGGAAAATTAACAGAAGGACCTAGGCCACGCTCCAGCTCACAGAGGTCACAGGGGGAACGGCCTTACTCCATTCCCCAGGCCTGTGTGGAGGGGACAAACCAAGGGCAGAGGAGGAAGCTGCTTTGGGAACCCAGGACATGGCAGGAAGCAAAGCGAAGGCTTGATCCACATGCTGTGGCCGTGTAAGCCAGGCGCTCAGACACTCCCAAGGAGCTTCCAAAAGACCAGAGCTCTCAGCTCCTGGAGGCTGAACATTGTGACAGTTCAGTCTCTGCAGCCTTGGATCAGTGGTTTACCTTCTGACCTCTTCTTGGCGCCTGGTGGTGGTTGTGGGGAAACCAAGGCAGAAAAGCAGTCCCTTATTTGAATTCAGCCTGACTGAGGGCTCTCCTCCCTCCACAGCCTGCCAGGACTGCCTCTTCCTATAGCTGAGTAGCTTTTGCCTCTTCCTGACCCTGCATGTTGCCACCTCTGCCTGCCTGTTCCTCCCCAGGGTCAGCGCACTGTCCTCCAAGAAGGCGTTCTGGGTTCCATCCAGGTCCCCCAGGGCTCACCCCTCATGACAGACTCTTAGATGGGAGGATTTCTGAGAGCAGGGGCCGGCGTCACCTCCATCAATCTTTTTTTTTTTCTTTCTTTGAGATGGAGTCTTGCTCTGTCGTCCAAGCTGGAGTGCAGTGGCACGATCTTGGCTCACTGCAACCTCTGCCTCCTGGGTTCAAGTGATTCTCCTACTTCAGCCTCCCAAGTAGCTGGGATTATAGGCATGTGCCACTGCACCCAGCTAACTTTTGTATTTTTAGTAGAGACAGGGTTTCGCCATGTTGGCCAGGCTGGTCTCGAACTCCTGGCCTCACGTGATCCACATGCCTTGGCCTCCCAAAGTGCTGGGATTACAGGCGTGAGCCACTGCACCCGGTCACCTCCATCAATCTTTACCCTCAAACCCGCAAGTCCCCAGACCTGGCTTCATCTACCTAGGTGTTGGCTGGATGATATCATCATCCATTGACCCGGGGTTGGTAAAGGCTGGGGAGTGGGTGGAAGCAGATGCAGCTGCATACAAACTGGGAGCTGTTTATTGGTCGCCGTGAGAAGCCTATGTACAAAGAAGGCACGAGGAGGGGGAGAGCACTCCCCTGCTACAGTACCATGGAAGGGGCTGGGGGTGGGCCTGCCAACAGGCAGGGGTCAGGAAAGGTTTTCTGGAACTAGCCTTAGCTTCTCAAATGGGCCTTAGGACACAGCCCATGGGGGAGGGGACAGAGCCAGGCTGGCTCTGAAAGCCAAGGATAGCTAAGAACTCCACCTCTAGGACCCCAGTGCATGGCCAGCTGCCTGTCCTACATTCAAGCGTCGCTCCCTCCGTGGTCTTGTAGGGTCTCTCTGGGGCCTTCTGAGGCTGGCTGGTAGTGGTGAGTCAGAAGTGGCATCTCCTCTGTATCCTCCCAACATCTGTCTGGCCCAGAATTGGTCCCCTCCTCTCTGTGGCGGATCCGCCGTGCCCCCAGGGCAGTCCCAGCACAGTGAGCCCAGGCTACCTCGCCATTTGCCTGTCTTTGTTCGTTCCGACTGCACTCCCTGCGAGTTCAGTCTGTGGCCAAGGAGACAGGCTTCACAGAGATGCAGGAACGAAAGCTGTTCTGGGACCTCCTTTCTAGTTCCTTTGCTGTTGGGTAGAGCATGCCCCCATGGACAACCTTAGGCAGGACCCCCAGCTCTCTGGCATGGGTGGCAGTGGGGGCCCACCAGCCGGGGCTCGGGGGGCTGCTCCCTGTCAGTAGTTTTGACAGCAAAGTTAATCCAGTGACTGTGGCTCAAGATGGATCCAGTGTGAAAGGGGGAAGTGTCACCACATTGCAGGGGCCTTTTCCTCCCGGCTCGG